ACGTCACTCTTCACGCAATGCGATTCGTAAACAAGCCCAGGAGCGTCCATGCAGTTTCACACGTCACGTCATGACATTACATGTCAGTTTTGTCTGCGTCTTACACGGAACGTTTCACCCCATGTCACGTCCATGCCATTGTTTCATCATGTCTCCACACGCATGCAGATAGTGCATCGATTACCTTTGGCCACGACAAACCTTCGTTTCACCTTCACACGCTGTCACGAGCAGTTGAACACATGACCGCAGTGCAACATGCATGCACATGCCGGACCCTCACGCATCGCAGTTTTTGTGATCACGAGAGAAGCAGAGTGGTCTCACCCTCCTGTTCATGAACTCAGAAGAGGACCTAGAACATGCATTACACCGCTGGCTGGCTGGACAAGTGCCGGATCACTACATCGTCCAAGTTTTCGGCCCTCGCATGTTGCAGAAGTGGCAGGCATTGCTTGTTAGCATAGTGGAGGAAAGCGACGTTCCGGCCATCCCCGATGAGAGTCCACCACAACCTCGACCGTGGACAACCAACATGCACCCGGCCCGCTACATCGACGGCATCGCCACACAGGAAGAAGGACTCAGCTTGTCAATCAACCGCTTCCGACAGCAAACCATGCGCGCAAAACTTCTGCACCAATCCAGACTACGACCGTTGGAGATGGAGTACCAGCAGAGCATGGGCACAAATCATTTGACAGACGATGAAATTCTACCTGGCCAACAGGCCCGCCACGACGCGAATGTGAACACCGTTCCGAGCACCATTACCCCGGCCTCCACCATGCAGGAGCACGCGAGCCGTTTCCAAAGATGGTATCCCAGTAGACAAGCTCCTCCTCTAGATCATGCCACGGGCATGTTCATGCAACCAGCTGAAGAACAAAATCCAGTCAGAGACCTACAGACCTGGCACACCGGAGCGTTTCCACAAATGCCAGTTCCACTTGATCGCCGAGTACCTGATGATGGTGGAGATCCTCGACATCACGATCGATCCAGATCCCCACTCCGCAACCCAGGAGTGCACACGCGTGGAACAATGGCCACCAGTCTACAGCAAATCTATGACAGCCTAGGGCACGCAGTGGACACGCAGGTTACATCACAACATCATGATCACGGGCATCTCCTTCCAGTTCTACCAGTCGATCAACTAGAACACGGACAAGTACCATGGTGGCGACGTCCCATCAAACCAGGACTCCTACATATGCTACCTCAGGTTGAGCCCCACCACTGGGAGTTACAGGACGATGGCACACCGGTCATCAGGTACTACCCAACCGGATGAACTTCCTACCCAAGCAGCTCGCGCACAAATTCCCTTCCAGAAACGCAGAAGAGCATCATCATGTCCTGGGGCGAGTACATCGACGACCCTGCCACCCACGTACAGATGCTCCGCCATGCAGAGTCCCTCAACGAGACCTCGAAGCAACGTCGACCTCACAGACTCAAGACATTACTTCGAGACATCATGACAGGACCTTCCGGACTTCGTATTTTGCAATTGACAGCGTACCAGTTCAGGATGACGATACGCAAAGGCACGAATCCAGACATGGCCACCATGCCCAACCTATACCAGTTATGGCACTGGGGATACGTCAAGTTCAGAAGCGTCAACGAGGAAGTATGGATCTTCACACACAACCTTGCGGACCCCCGAACCATGGCCAGGTTGGAGCAAACCTGTGTACATTTTCACAGGATTTGGGCATCACAGATTCTGCCCAGCACAGCCGGCCTTGCACCTGTACTACCCACAACACAGGACCTTTGCGTGGTGATCCACAACACCACTCCTCCTTTCCAACAACCGATGGCGGCCAGGTACAACACCATATCAGGCGTCATGACCATGCAGGAGGCAGCAACATCACTTTTCGGAAAGTTCATGCAGATGTACAACTACATAGGACATGGCCCAGCGTTGACGCAGCAGTCAAATCCAAGCAGGAGCACGACACTTTTCTGCTATCAGACGATTGGCCCACCAACATCTGGACGGACACGCTTCAGAAAATGACGACCACATCACCATGGACTGCACCTATTGAATCGGACATCAGAACCAAGCTCACCATCGATCACATCTTCCATGACGTGATTCCCCACATGATCTGGACACCCAGATTCGCAGTACCCTTAACGCCGCAACAACTCCATGCAGTTCAGATATCTACCAAGGCGGCACATGTGCTTCATCGACTATGGGATCCACTGCTGTTCACCTTCGCTGACCCGTGCCACTCTTCGCAAGGTCACGACACCAAGCACTCCAGCCAGCCACACTTGACAGAGAAGTTCTACAAGATCACCAATGGGGAACAGGTTCCCGTCATCGCCATCCCAGCAAGCAGCGTGAGGGAAGCACACGCGGATTGGGCGTGGTTCCAATCTCATCACCAGCCACAAATGCCGTTCCGTTGGCTGGCATTACCGCTGTCGGCCACAAACCTCGCCAGAAGCCATTCGGTCTACTGGATCACGCACAATGAAGGAGGACAAGTACGGCGACAACACGCTCGACATGTTCATCAACCCAATTGGTTCACACTGGATGGAGTACCAACGCCTTTTGAACAAGATCCTTCACTGGAACCTGACCAGGCACTTCCCACACCAACACAACAAGAATGGGAAGACTTTATCAGTCATAGACGAGCCCTACTTGAACTTCAACAACGCACCACCGTGGACCAGCAGGGAGTCTCGCATGAGTGGCATTATGTTCGTTGATCATCAGTTGCTGGGACGTTTCACCCTGCGGAATGGACCCATGCACCATGAATCGTTTCCGGACAGATCCCACTTCTGCATAGTAGCATGGCACGAATGCATGAGTTGCTCCATTCATGCTTCATTCATGCAACACGCGGCCACGAGAGTCTGTTGCATTGAACATGATCGCATTCATGCTGTCGCAGCGTCTAACCCGAGTTGTACAACACGCCATAGAGTGACACTGCATTCATACCATGGCCGACAGAGATAGGATGCATGCTGAACGTCGCACTCGTACTCACGATCGAGACCGAGATCTTCCTCAGGCCAGACCATCCAGAAGATTCAGCACACCAAGACCATCAAGGCGACACAGGAGCAGATCACGTACGCCAAGATCCTCATTCGCACCGCGAAGAAGTCCGCTTCCAAGTTCGAGACCGTCCTACACAAAACACAGACAATCACCGGCAACCAGCTCAAGACGATCCACCAGTCGAAAACTCGCACTGCATCGCCGAGATCCAGGACGCAGAGGTCATCACAGCTTACCGGTGTACAGGGACTCGCCCGCCACCTCGCAGAGCCAAAGAGATATTGCGAGATGTTTTCAGCCAACCAGACAACGACCTCCCGGACCACTGGGACACCACGGACACGCTACACGACCAAAATCAATACGGAGGCCTACAATTACCCAAGATCGTCCCCGCCACAGCCTCAGCACGCAAGAATGGTCGCTAGACATCAAAGTCTGGCAGGTGGCCTTCGAAGGGAAGCACAACTACATGCTTCGACAACTCGCGAACGGAAGATGGACCCAATTCCAGGGACACAAGTCCCTACCTGATGCTATTTTTCACATGAAACTATCCACCTTTATCCGCAACCGTGGCATTCGAGTGGAGGCCATCGCCGTCAACTATTGGAAGTGGAAGACTGGCACAGAGATGCTTCCCACGGAAGCTCAACGCAAAGAAGCCATGGAACTCCTTGTCAACAACGTCGGCGACCTCCTCATGCGCTACAACAACCCTCCGGCAGTACAACCTCAAGTACGTGCTCAACTTGCCGAAAAAGAGGCCGAAATAGCGAACCTCCGTGCACAACTTTGCCAGCCAGAACATGGAAGACGCCTTTTCCACCAGGCATCATCCCACCCACTCAGACCCAGCTGCCCCAATTCTTCGAGACAACACCTGTGCAGCACCCGTCCCACAGGTCCCACCCACAACCACAGCGCGCCTCCCCGCCGTCAACCTCGACCCCCAACATGCATCGCCTTTTCCGGCCACTGCCCAACACGGAATACTCTCCGAGGTGGAGCTCGAAAACACACACATGGGGGGAATCGACACGCCATCATACCAACCAAGCCCAGTCTCCGAGGCACCAACACCCACGCCCAATCCAGCGCCCCAGCTCTTTGAGTCACCCAGCACCAGACAGAACAAAGCACTACTCGACATCGTCAAGTCCTTTGACACCGACGAGCTCATTCCGTACTTGAGTGACATCGCGCCAAAAGCCGAACAATCGGAGACATTGAAGATGGACAAGATTCGGCAAGTCCATGACCTCACAAGCTCGCTGACACGATACGCTGCACCCACAACATGGATAAGCACGCTGAAGTTGAGTGGACCACGACTACAAGCACAGAAAGACATCGCCCGCCTCACGCCCACGCCCACGTCGCCTGCCCAGGGCGACGGGCCCGATCGCCGCCGCCACGACTGGATTTTCCTGGACCCCGTAAGCCTTTGCCCAGCCTAGTGTTCAAAAGCGACAGGGAGCCTGTGCCGGCCGACCTCCTCGACCTCGCCCACGACTGGCCCAGACCTGCCACCGGCGCCCAGAGCCCCTGGCGGTCAGATCCCGCCCGACGCCTCCAAACTGGAAAAGCGTTCATGGGCCGACGTCGTCGATGACGCCACCTACGCTGAGCCTCAACCCTCACCTCCACACGCAAAGACGTGCCCACCAAAACGCCTCCCGCCAAACCCAGCCCCGAAGTCGGCCATCACCTGTTTCAGACGACGTACGACGGCCGGACCTGGTACAACTTCTACAGCCTGAGCCAGCCCTTACGAGCTGCCCACCGGCCCCGCCCGTTCCGGTGCAACCGGAAACACTGTACAAGGCCGACCCGCCTCAGCCGTCGCAGCCTGAACCACAGCCAAAGCCCGACCCGCCCCAGCCCTTGCCCACGCCGCCTGCCCAAGATTCGCCCGCTGTCTCGTGCTTCGAGAAGGGCAATTTCAGCATCGTCCGCGACGAGCGGGGTCGGATCTACATTCACCACCTCGACCACCAGCTGCTGGTCGCCCACGCCGAACAAGGCCTGACCACCGCCCAGTTTTTGCTGGCCACCGAAACGTTCAACATCCCGCACCGGCCCATACCCTTTCGCCCATCCGCCCGCCATACCGCCCCCCAACGGCCCGAACCTGCCCAGCCGGTGCCAACGCCGCCTGCCTCGGAAGGCACGGCCGGCCCACAGGAGGAGACCGACACCGACCTCCTGGAAGACGGGACGCAGACCCTCCTTCAAGCCCAGGCCCACCTCCGACCGCCTCCAGCCCATGCCCCACCTGCTGATTGCCCAACCGCCGGACAGAAGGTACAGAGGCTGTACCATTTTGCCCAGTGTGTGCCTTGCTGACACCTTCAGGTTTGCCCAGAACGAGGCCCAGGTCTGCTCTGTAGACCATGATCACCGTCTCAAGTGCGCTCGCCCATGCAGCACCCAGCCTTTCTGCCCATACGGCCTCGTCTGCGCCCAGCGGATGTCCAGCCCAGACTTTGATGATCACGAAAAACACCAGTGCAGTCGGTGTCACGAATTCGACAGCCATTTTCACAGCCCGTGAGGCCCTGGGAGCCCACCCTTTCCCAGCTCTCTAACTACAGTCTTTTCCCGAAAGCATCGCGAAGGGTTCTTCCGTGAGGAGCCCTCTGACCCAACAACATAGAGTGAAGTACATAGAGTGAAGTGCATAGCGTGAAGAGCATGGAGTGAAGTGCATAGCGTGAAGAGCATGGAGTGAAGTGCATAGAGTGAAGTGCATAGAGTGAAGTGCATAGAGTCAAGTGCATAGAGCGAAGTGCATGGAGTGAAGTGCATAGAGTCAAGTGCATAGAGTGAAGTGCATAGAGTGAAGTGCATAGAGTCAAGTGCATAGAGTCAAGTGCATAGAGTCAAGTGCATAGAGTGAAGTGCATAGAGTGAAGTGCAGAGAGTAAAGTGCATAGAGTGAATTGCATAGAGTGAATTGCATAGAGTGAATTGCATAGTGTGAATTGCATAGAGTGAAGTGCATAGAGTGAATTGCATAGAGTGAAGTAGAAGTTAATATAGATTACGAGATTTACGTAGAATTTAATAGACCTTCGTACCCAGTCCTAGATTTCTAAATTAAAATTATTT